AGATAAAGGGCTAGTATCCAAAATGTATAAAGAACTTATCAAACTCAACACCCAAAGAACAAATAATCCAATCGGGAAATGGGCAGAAGACGTGAACAGACATTTCTGCAAAGAAGACATCCAAATGGCCAACAGACACATGAAAAAACATCACTCGGCATCCGGCAAATCCAAGTCAAAACCTCAGAGATACCACCTCACACCAGTCAGAATGGCTAAAATTAACAAGTCAGGAAAAGACAGATGTTGGTGAGGATGCAGAGAAAGGGGAACCCTCCTACACTGTTGGTGGGACTGCAAGCTGGTGCAGCCACTCTGGAAAACAGTATGGAGGTTCCTCAAAAAGTTGAAAATAGAGCTACCATACGATCCAGCAATTGCACTACTGGGTATTTACCCCAAAGATACAAATGTAGGGATCCGAAGGGGTACATGCACCCCGATGTTTATAGCAGCAATGTCCACAATAGCCAAACTGTGGAAAGAGCCAAGATGTCCATCGACAGATGAATGGATAAAGAAGAGGTGGTATATATACACAATGGAATATTATGCAGCCATCAAAAGGAATGAGATCTTGCTATTTGCAATGAGGTGGATGAAACTGGAGGGTGTTATGCTGAGCAAAATAAGTCAATCAGAGAAAGACATGTATCATATGACCTCACTGATATGAGGAATTTCTTAATCTCAGGAAACAAACTGAGGGTTGCTGGAGTGGTGGGGGGTGGGAGGGATGGGGTGGCTGGGTGATAGACATTGGGGAGGGTATGTGCTATGGTGAGCACTGTGAATTGTGCGAGACTGTTGAATCACAGATCTGTACCTCTGAAACAAATAATACATTATATGTTAAAAAAAAAAAAAGAAGAAGATAGCAGGAGGGGAAGAATGAAGGGGGGGAAATCAGAGGGGGAGATGAACCATGAGAGACTATGGACTCTGAAAAACAAACTGAGGGTTCTAGAGGGGAGGGGGGTGGGAGGATGGGTTAGCCTGGTGATGGGTATTAAAGAGGGCATGTTCTGCATGGAGCACTGGGTGTTCTGTGCAAACAATGAATCATGGAACACTACATCCAAAACTAATGATGTAATGTATGGTGATTAATATAACAATAATAAAAAATAAATAAATGAAAAGAATTAAGTTTAGACTTTTAGAGTTCATGCAGGTTTATCCTACAGATATCAAACACTTGTTGCAATGGCTAAGAGATATCTCTATTCCAGTTTGAAAGTGTTGAGATTAGAACAGAAGAGCTTGAATATCTTATACAGATATGCTGATTTCAGCCACCACCCCCATTCCACAGAAAAGTAGCCAAAAGTCATTTTAACTTTATTTTTAAAACTAAATATGATTTCAATTTGGAGGTTTGGTCTACTTCTATTTTGTTGTTTTTTAAATTACTGGAACTTATTTTCTTAGAAAAAAAATTACATGTGTATTAAAAATATCTCAGAATTCAAGAGGATATGCCAAGGGCAAATGCCAGGAAGAGAACACATACATCATTTCATTCACCCAGAGATAAACTCATCACAGTGGACTCATATTTTGTTTGTATTTTTTCCCCGAATAATTATATCAAATCATATATACTATTCAGTGGCTTGACCAAAATATTTCTCATCATACACTAATATACAACAAAGTTGTAAGGGTCTTCTCATATTCAGGCAAAAATGAAATGATGAATTCCACTGCTGGTAGAAAGTGATATGATATGTGTGTGCAACGGGGGAAACCAAGCAGTTTGCTAATGAACCCTTTCTGGGAGCTGACAGTTGGATCTTGAAGGATGTCAATATTTGCCAGGCACAGAAGAACAGAAAGCATTTCCCAGATAGAAGAAACAGCTAGAAAAACTACTAGAAACTTTGATAGACCGTGTCCTGTTAGAAACAGGGAAAGAGTCCAGTTTGCCTGGTGGGTGTGTTGTGTGAGTGGGTGGGTGGGGGTTCAACAGGAGGTGAGCAGAGGGCATGAGTTTGTTATGAACAGCTTTGTTTGCCAGGCCCTGGAGTATGGAATGTGTTCTGTTGACAGTGGGGAACCAGGGACTTTACAAAATCAATTACTTCCTTACATTAAAACAAAGAATACTGAGTAAGCCAACCAAAACCCAGCTTTACTCTTTCCTGAAGGATGGATTTTCTTTTAAATGCAGGTGCTTAAAAACATCTTCCTAGACAAGCCAAATACAGTCCCTATGAACCTTTCTCAGAAAATTCTCATCACCTCTGCAGAAGCTTTTCGAGCACCTTTTGGAGTTCTTTAGCAGTCTGCCTTAATGCACGATGCATTTAGATAACTCCTACAATGGCAAATTCATTCTTTTTTTTTTTTTAAGATTATTTATTTATTTGACACAGAGAGAGTACAAGCAGGGGGAGTGGCAGGCAGAGGGAGAGGGAGAAGCAGGCTCCCTATGGAGCAGGGAGTCCGATGCTGGACTCGGTTCCAGGACCCTGGGATCATGACCAGAGCCAAAGGCAGTCGCTTAACCGACTGAGCCACCCAGGCGCCCCAGCAAATTCATTCTCAAAGAACAACGTGGGTAGATGTTGTTCTGGCCCCTCTCCGCGATAGGAAGGAATGTGTTTGGTTCTGCTAGGTGCCTTTGGGAGGGCTTTGATGATGACGAACGCTTTGGAAGCCAATATTGGCCAGTTTTTTAGTTTGGCCAGTTATTTCTTAACCAGCTCATTTGCACCACCCAGTGGGAAAGTGCTAGAATACAGCTTTGAAGGGTGGCTCTGAGTTGTTCTTCCTCAGGGAAGGATCTGGGAATTCCTGGTCTGCTATTTCAACCATTCTTTCCCTATAGGAATGTTAGGAGACATCCCCGTAAACAGTTTTTCTCTTTCATTTGGAGGCAAGAAAGTATTTGCAGTGAGGAAAACACCAGTCCTGGCTTTTCACAGATTCAGTGACTTTAGATAAGTACCATGTCCTCTATCAAAGTATTCCCGTGTGTGTGTGTGTTTAACTCTTCCATATTTCTAGTGGCATAACTGTTTTAGTATTTACCCAGGGCACCTGTAATTCCAAGTGCCATCCGTCTGGGTAATGAAAAAATACCTTCGACATTTTGAAAATCCAGGAATGGCTGCAACCATTTATAATGAATATATGTCAATTAATATCAGTATCATCAGAGTGTATCTTCCTAAGAATGTCTCAGAGGCTTTTAAACCACAAATCACATGGTGTAAGTGGAAAGAGCTGACCTTTGCCTTCAGTTAGACCTGAGTTTAAGTCCCACCCCTGCCACTTACAGTGTGACTTTTAGAAGACACTGTCTGTCTCTGAGCCTGTTTCAGTGAGCACAACCAGTCTCGTTTCACAGGGTTAGTGTAAGAGTTATGGGATGTAATATCTGCAGAGCTTTGAGGGACCCTGGGACTAAGGGAAAGCTGTGCTTTGTTGGGTAGAAGTAACTATTACTGGTCTGGCTCTGCAGCTTCCCTGTTCTCCTCGAGCAAATCCCTTCTGCTCTGAAGCCTGGATTCCTCTGCTGTCAGATGTCACAGTTCCTTCTCATAGAGTTTTACAGATGCGATGATGTAACACCTATGCCTGCCCCCACCAAGCACCTGGCACCTCATAGGTGCTTCACAAATGCTAGTTCCTTTCTTTCCAAAAGTATTAACCCATTGCGAATAGTGACAGAATTAGTTATAAGGCCAAATTGTGTTCAGCCTGTGATCTCCCTCCTGCCAGTTGTCTCTCTTGCTAACTTAAATACACACATGTGCACATTTGCTTTCCCACCTTACTTTCCCCATCTTTGTCATCAAAGGTTAACCAAAAGCACAAGAACTTTTGGAAGCTTATCAAAGGGACAGCAAATTCATTTTAAGATTGTCATCATGTCTTTCCAGTCCTCACACCAGTTGCATGGGTCCATATTTGGGCAGTTGTGCGTTTACCTGTCTCCCTACCCCCATGCCCTCCCGGCCTGGCCTCTCTACTCCAGCCACAGCAACACCAGACCACGGAGGGCTCCACCTCGGCCACTCCTCCCCCCCGCCCCCGGCTATCTAGTCCTTCTCCCCGCCTCATCATCAGGGTCCTCCTTTAAATTTTGGGGTCCATCTAAGTGGATACATTATCAGGGAAGTCTTCTCAAGCCCTTTCTTGCTCTGGCATGAAATGATTATTGCCATATGTTTGCTTTTGAGGAGAAGAAATTAATGTGTATCAAGTCCAGGCATATCTTAATACTTTTAACCTTCCCGGTCACCTTCTCAGGTCATCTCACAGTTCCATTTTACAGATGAGGAGACTGAGGGCCCGTTCATTGCTTCATTAAACAAACATCTATTGATATCAGTTGCCAGGCACTAGGAATAGAGCAGACACAGCCCCTTCCTTTGTGGATATTATAGGATCTGACATGGGAGGAATCCGGGAGGCAGGAATGAAAGAAATAATAGGCTATTCCAGTTGTGAAGAAGGGGCCTGTGAAAGGCAGGAAAGAGGGATATGCCCTATGTCAGAGTTTAGGGAGGGGATCCCTAAAGAAAAGGCATGTCTGCTAAGACCCAAAGACTCAAGGCGGTCACACAGATAGGTAGTGAGGGCAGAAGTGGGCTCTAACTGTGGCGGGAATTTGGAGCTACCATGCCTCATGGTCTCCTTTCCTCCAAATATTTGCATTTGTGTCCTTGTCTTTTAGTGTGTGATCTACATTTCTTTCTCTCTGATGGAGTGTAGCTCCTTACAAACAGCAACCTTATCTCCCAGGTACCTGGTACATAGGACAAGTCACAAGCAGAAGGAAGTGGTCAGTTCGTGTTTCACTATATGTACCTGTATGTGATTGCCTGTGCTTAATAATATTATAAGGATGCAAAAGTGCCTAGAATATGCCGTGTATATTCTGTCATTTCTTTAACCAACGCCTTGGTATGGTTTTCTAATAGAGTCTCCAAGCACCTGGGCACTCCTGTTCTCAAACTCCTTTTACTCTGATGTTTTCTGTTCTCTAGGCTGGGGTGATCCGGGGTGAGCATGTGAGAGAGGGGGCAGCTACCATCAGCTCCGCAGGAGGTGGGACTTGAAAGCAGCTCATTCATCTACATCAAGTGCTGTTAAGCGTGTCTTCCCAGTTGCTGCATGGCACAGGGCTCCTTCCAGCCTGCTCTCCAGGCCGTTCTTGGAGCTGAAAGTGGAGTGGGCGTCCTGTGCCGGGCACTGTGTTGGGGCAGGGGAGACAGATGAGTGCACATATGGTGAGCCCATGAGTGTTTCTTTTCTTGACATGCGGTAGCCCTCCATCCAGTAGGGCCTGCAGACATGGCCCCGGTCCATGCGCGCACGCACACACACACACATGCAGACGTACAAACCGGCTCACTGTAAGCAGGACTCCAGGCCAGCACTGGTGGAAGAAGTAGCAAACTCCACAGTGGTGGGGGCAGGAGCGGCAGAAGGCCTTCCAGGCACCTTGCAAGTCATCTTGCCTGAGCTGGGAAAAGGAATGGCAATTAGCTAAGTTCAGGAGGGCAGGATATGGGAGGAGCAGGCCACAGGCAAGGGTCTCACCTCTGCAGCAGTCTGGAGAAAGAGAAAAGATGGTACATTTGGGATCTGCAAATGCTCACAGGAGCCAGGCAGGTGATGGAGTTGAGGGAAAGGCCAGGTGGGAGCATGTCAGACACATTGGTATATTCTTCATGCCCATTCAGAAAAGTCCTCCCTCCCACTTCCCTTGCCTTATACCCACTTAGGCTGTCCTTCATTTTTCCGTCTTTGAAACGTAGGTAAAAAGAAACTATTCTCTTCTATAAGAAAAATAGCAGTCTAAATCCAATGATCATATCAATCAGTAAGTGATAGTTGGCTTCTGTTGGGGAGACAACTGGGAGTAATGGGGGCTGGGGCCAACTGGAGAGCACATTCTCCATCTGAAGAGGACAGCTGTTCTTCAACTCCGGCTGTCCAGTGGCTCCAACTCTTGCGATTTTTCCAAAAAAGCAGACAACCTGGAGTTTCGGCAAGTTAGCCAAGTTTTTTGGGGTGGATGTTGTTGTTGTTGTTTTTAACATTGCTTGATCAAAACAAAAACAAAAAAAAACAGACCTGCAGACCAAATGGAACACATTTGCATGCTGACCCTTATCCATGGACCGTGCTTGCAATTCCTTGGTCAAAGGCTCCAGAGGTTCTGAGGGTATTTTTAGAATCCTTCAGCAAGTCATTGCTTCTAGTTACTCCTAACCATCCTTCTCTCCCTGCTTTCCAGAAAGAGATGACGAGCAGGATGTGTCACTGACGCCCCACCTTATCTTTGGAAGACAGAGGAAAGCTCTTAGCTCCTGGAGTGCTGAGCAGGGAGACCTCCCTGGCTGACGTGGCACGCCTACTTCCAGGAGCAGGAGAGGTGGAGACAACGGTGATTCCTGAGAGACGTTCCCCACTCACCCCGTGTGCTCTTAACCCTCTGAGTGCTGCTAGCCACGACCTGTGGACCTGTCCCACCACAGCGTGCAAGAAGGACTGCCCCCTGGCCCCTTCTGGCTCTGAGTCGCCCCGAGGAAGCCTCTGCACTTCCATGCATGTCGCAGCTCTGCCTGTGACCTGCCGCCTAAGCTTTACTGGAATTCAGGTTTTGAGACTGAGACACTCGTACTTTTCCACTTCTGTCTTGTCAACTGGCCGACTTTTCTGTCACGTGTTTTCTAAGTACCGGGTGAATTTTGGAACTCTGGATGAGCAGCAAGTTTTTCTATAACAAGCCTTCCTTTCAGACCTCTCGCCCTGATCTGATTCTGTGGTTTAACTTCACGCAGGGTGGTGTAGCCACAAGAGATCTGAGACCCACCCCGCAGCCTCAACACGTTTTTCCCTGAGAGGCAGGTTTTTTTCAGGGACCACTCCATGACCCCGAACAAACCTTAACTACAGGGAGGAGACCGGTCGCGAGCAGAAAGCTGACGAGTTACCAGTTAACTCCAAACAGAATGTGGTTTGTTTGTTTTTTTTTTTTTACAACCACACCATTTCTTGTCTCTTCTATTCAAGATATTTTCTTCCTGTTTCCCAGAAGAGAGGAAGAAAAGGAAACTGTAAACGACCAAGAATGATCAGCTGAACCCCTGAGCCAGATTAGTGCAACGTTTGTTCTTGACCAAAAGGGAGGGAGTTGCGGCTGTCTCCACATAATACTAAAATTTCAGTGGAAAAAAAGAAAACAGAAGTGCAATTGGTTATTTGGTGCACATAACTCAGCCAGCTGGCTCATTGGCTCGTAGCCTTCCCAGCTGGCCCTCTGAGCTCCTTCATCCAGCCCCTGTTTTCTCTCTTCCTTTACACGCCCTGCCCCCCCCCACCCTGGCCGGATTGTGCTGTGGCACAAATTAATTTCTGCCCCTATGATTGTGCCACCGTTGCCAAGGTAACAGTGGAACTGGAGCTAACTTTCTTCTTCCATTCCTTCCCGGTTTTCCCATTCCAGTCAACAAAATAGCACAGCCTGTGCTTACATCCTGCCTTTTGAAACCCAAGTGAGTCTTAGTTGCAGAAACGTTGCCTTCTCTGCTTCATCCACAAACCTGGTGGTGGTCCCGAGAGCCTGTAACGAAGGGGTGATGATACTCCCAGTGATCCTTTGAATTTGACAAAGTAGCAATTGGTGGAGGGAAGTAGATAAGAATGTATTAGTGTATTTTAATGTAACAACGATTAAAGAATAACTAAACAACCCTGATCTCGTTTCATTATATTTAATGCGTTAAAGCCATCCGTGGCTGCCACAAGAGCCTAGAGAACGTGAAATCTTTCTTTGTCCAAAGAAAGGGCTGACTGGCTGGGCGCTGTGGCATCCTGCCCTGACCCGGTAAAGCCACCTTTGCCTCCCGTCTTGTCCAAGTCGTCTCATGGAATCCAAATGCTGCTACCTCTTTCCACCGTGTTGTGCTCTGGTCACCAACAAACATACCCTCTCCCCTTTTTTGGCTTCCTAAGTAACTCTGAGAGAACAAGATAGGCAAAGATTCTTCTCAGCATCATTTTGGGCTGAAAGAATATCTGACTGTCCTAAGGATCCAGAGAACAAAGAAATAAGACCCCCTCTTCCCAACCTATGCAATACACAGTAAGTACTGCATGGGGATGTCAAGCAGAGGGACAGAGAGATGACAGCGTGGAGCCCATGCCCTGGGAGGAACTCTGAAACTCTGCCGCCATGGAAAAACCACAGGATTTTTGCATTAAAAAGTTGACCACGTTCCTGCATGTCAGTGATGCCTAATCAAGCAGGATTCTGGACTCTGAAGACATTTGTTATTAATTCTTTTTAAGGTTCTTTTCTGTTGACTGTGCATATGAAATTCCCATTCAATTTAAAAGACCAAATATTTTTTAAGCTTCTTGGCACAGTTTCCTCCTGGTTATATTTCTAATTGCATTCATCAACTCTTCTAGGATCAGTGCCGGCAAACTACTCTTATTTTTTAATTAGAGTATTCCTATTCCGCAGATCTTTGTTTGGCATATTCTAAAGAAATTTTACAGGTAATTATTATTACCTGTAATATTACAGGTAATTTTTTTTATTATTACAGGTAATTTTTATCTCTTTGATCTGACGACATCCTAAGTACCACTCATTGCAAAGAGGGGCAATCTGAGCTCTTTGGCAATGGCTCAGGCACCTCCAGCTCTCTGGGCCTGAGCCTCACCTCCTGCTTCCTCCTTCATTTCCCACTATTTTTTTTTTTTAAGTTGGGTAATACATGTATCCACTGTCTTTTTTATTTCAAGACATTTCAAAGTGGAAATTTCAAAAAGAAAAGATTACAGTGAACATCCACGTCCCCTTCACTTACATGCATCAATTGTTAACATTTTTTTAATTGTTGACTTTTCCCATATATTGTCTCTCTTTCTCTGTAAGTATACATTCTTATTGCTGAACCATTTCAAAATACGTTGCAGACATCATAAAACTTTAAAATACTTTCTCAATTGCCCCCAAAATGTTTATAGCTTTTTGTTGTGGTTGTTTATCCAGGATCCAATTAGGAATCACACATGGCATTTGCTGTCATTCTCTTTAGTTATAAAGCTAGAGTTCTCCTGTTAGGTATGTGTTTGGTGTGGTGGTGGTAGTGATGGTGTGTGTGTGTGTGTGTGTGTGTGTGATGACACTGACGTTATTAAGGATTTCAGGCTGGTTTTCTGTAGAATGTTCCACGATCTGGATTTTTTTTTTCTGATTGTTTCCTCTTTATTAGACTCAGTTAAACATATTTTTTAAGGAAAAATACTACATAAGTGATGTTTCCTTCCTATTGCATTTATCAGAAAGCATATAATGTCTAGTCGTCTCTTTTCATGATATGAAGCTTGACCAGTGGGTTCAGGTGTTGTCGGCCTGATCCATTCATTATAAAGGTAAATAATTCATTAGGAAGCTCTGAAATTCAGCATGCACACATATTATAGAGTTTGAGGCTATGCAAATGTGTGTTCTTTTCTTAATACTCTCAAAGAGGTGCAGGGTCTCCAAAAGATTATTACCATTGCAGTTAAATGATATAGCAAGGATAAAGGATTCATAACTTCCCATTTAACAGAAGGAAGGGGAAGGAGGAAGGGGGCACTACATTAGTATGCTGGCTAATGAGAATTTGTATGGTCCCTGTAGCCAGAGTTGAAATATGTATAATTTTTTTTTGCTCCCATCCTTAATGACTTCCTGTTCAGACCCATGGTTTATTTTAGAGAGCATGTATTCTCATTGAAGGTGATTGTTCAAGGGTGCAAAAATTGTGGGTTTTTTTTTTTTTTTTTGGTGGGGGGAGGAATCTTAGATATTACAGTGGGTTGTGGCCCTTTAAAGGGCCATAGTAGGTATAAAGTTTCTATGTGGTATTAAAATTTCAGGAGGATGATTAAGAATAAAATATCTTAAAGGGCTCCTTAGGAGGATGATAATAGAAAAAAAAAAAAAGTTGAGAAATACTCAACTAGAGTCAGATTCTGCTTCTTAGGTGTTAATTCTCTCTTCCTGGGGTGTTTTATCATTTCTGAGGACTAGGATGAGTGGAAGCAACTT